TTTAAACGTTTCGTTGCATATAATTAAAAGAAAATTTGTTTAGTTTAGTGTAAGATCGAAATATATTTCACCTTGTGAACACTTAAAGTTCACATTTCACTCGTGGCTGCCACTCGTGAAATATACCTTTTGGTGCTCACTCGGTGAAATATATAGAGGATATTCAAGTTTTTTCTATAAATACATGATTTATTTTCATCGAGTGGTATGAAAATAAATATTTCATGAGTGGCGGTAGCCACGAGTGAAATACGGTAATTTTCATGCCACAAGATGGAATTAAATCGTGTATTTAAAGAAAAAACTTGAATTTTCTGTTTATTATATACATTTTTCTCTTTTTTGACATTAAAATTTGAAAGACTTTCCCTTAAATTGTGTGTACTGGTAGAATTTAAAAGAAAGTAGTCCGGCAAGACACCAGTGAAAATACGGAAAATATGTTTCACTGCAGTGAAAAATAAATTTTTACAGTGAAAATACGGAAAATGAAAATACGCATTTTATTTCATCAATATTTCTCAATATATCATTTATAAGTATATAATAAATTCCGATCTTACACTGAACTAAACAAATATCCACTATATATTCAAAAATTCAGAAACATTAAGGCTGTCCTTGAGGTAAAAATGTCTCCAACATATAAACCATGGTATCAGAGCTAATGCTTTCTTTTTTCCTATTTTTATTTGACACACGTACCGGGTAGTTAAGGTTGTGGACCCGAAAGTGGTTTTGTGCTCCTATTCAAATTGACGTCACAGTGCATTAAGTGTGTAAGTCCATAAACAAGTATCAGCAAGTTTTGGTCTATATTATGAAAGATTTTCTGAACACACTTAGAAAAAGTATCTCCGACAAATAAAGGTGAAACAATGATCAAATTATAATAATTCATCATTTCTATAAAATTCCTTAATATATTCTCTTGTTTTATTACATATACATAATGATTTTAAAGGGTAAGTAACAGTTACGACCTTATAAAGCGCATAGCTCGGACCATATTGAAAAGAGCGCAAATCGGTCGTAATCAAAAACATTTAAAATATACATTTATTTAAATCATAAAAATTAACGACTTCTAAAAAAATCTTTACTCCCTTTATCCCACAGGTTATCGGGTGGGACCAAGCCCTACCCCTAAGGTACCACCCCCCAGGACCCTCTATACTACCCAAATATACTTCAATACATTCAAAATACATGTCAATACAAAATCAAACAATTCTATCAAAAAATATAATACTATAGTTTATAGTATCAGTATTATATTTTTTGATAGAATTGTTTGATTTTGTATTGACATGTATTTTGAATGTACTGAAGTATATTTAGGTAGTATAGAGGGTCCTGGGGGATGGTACCTTAGGGGTAGGGCTTGGTCCCACGCCGATAACCTGTGATAATATGCAGAGGTAAAATGGCGGATAACTGAAAAAATCAATCTCCTCTCTTTTATACATTTAAAACAGGGTCGATAATTACTTAATTGCATATGGTATGTGACTTTGCATCTTTCTTAAATGAAAGACAGTATCGAGTTTCCAAAGTATTTTCTCTTGTGGTATTTCCTTGTTGTTCCTGTCTAGATGTATTTTTCATCTACAGCGCGTGTGGTTCAAGTCTTAAACAAGGGTGTGGTAACAAATGCCTTATCGGAAAAATGACCTAATCAGATTGTAAACAAATCCAAGCCAGTTGGTTGGTAATAACATCAGCGCCGTTATGTACTAGTAAAAGAAATAAGAAATAGTTTTACGAAATTATTACAAAAGATTATTGACCTAAGTTTAAAGTATTAAAGAAAAAATATATTTCGGGAATATTTCTTTGCATGAATATAGACATGAATGTGTGATTATTTCGTGTTGACCGTGGTCGACCGGTTTAAGGTCGTTGACTTTCATGCACTTGGTCCTCACAGCTTTGGGTTCGAATTTTGCAAATGACTGGATTCTTTTATGCATTTTGGAAGCATTCTATGGGACGTCTGTGGGTGATTCTATTCAGGTATCCGTTTGTACCTGAAACAAAAGGACACATTCCTTTAAAGGGACTCCACTGAGGTTTTTTGATATGATGGAACTGAAAATATTTTTTCCAGATCAATGTACCATTTGATGTAGGTTTAGACCACTAATCTTTGTGCAAAATTTCAGATCATTCGTGCACTTCTTTTTTCCAGAATAATTATTCAAATTGTTAAAAAATGAGCGGAATTGAAAAGAGTTTAAACGCTTTTCACTCAAATCGGGCTAAGAAAAGCATAAACATACGATTTTCAATCTATTTCAAAGTATATTTGTTAATCATCTTTGCATATATTTCTGTTTTAAGAGCCCCAGCTCATTTATGTAAAAAATCCAATTGTTAAGTTTTAGGCTTTAAAACCTCAGTGGAGTACCTTTAACAGTAAAGCTGGACAGTCAACATAATGACATTGAATAAAAAACAACCAAAAAGACGGGAGATATATTGAAGATGGAGGCACATAAATGCACATTTATTGTTAAAATTTGCATGTGTGTGGATTAGTATAAAGTCACTTTCAAAGACTGTTTAATAAAAAAAATAATAATGATAAAATATGCTATGTAATAAAAGTATTTGTACAATGCTTTAGTTTGTAAACCAATGTACATAATAACTTATGATGTGCATCTACCCCTTTGAATATAACTAATTTTAATGGAATGCAGCATATAAAATATGCATAAGATGTAAATTTATGCACTGTAAACTGACACGAAACGGCAAAATGAAAACATCTACAAGTGATGAAAATCCTGCAGCATGTGAAGGTTTCATCCAGTCCCCCTCCCCCACGCCCGGGCCCTACCACGGCTCTGTTTCAAGATATTTTGGTTCCTAAACTGAGAATCTCAACATCAGCAAAATAAGATTGTGTTGTGTATGTGCGTGTGTGTGCGGGCACGTGTGTGTGTTTGCGTGAAATAGAATTGTCTGCCGCAACTGAAACAGATTTTGTGTGTAAAAAAACGGACCCTTTCCTCGAGAATGCACCATTTTCACCACTGTGTTCCTGCGCACCCTCTTACCTTAACATTATGGATCCTTCCTTTGTTGGCACTGTCAAGAAATAATCAATTTCTATTTATAGATATGTATGTTTGTTTCAGTAGTCTGCATAAATTCACCAGTGATGGCACATTTTAAATTGTTTTTCTTTTTTTTTCTTTTTCTGCTTTACATTCAAATCATTTTAATACCAGTGGTAACCACGGTAAGATTTTTGTTTATTGAAATTTGAATTGTTCACTTTAAATTCTTTCAAAAAAGTCTTTACAGTCTTTATTTTTCTACCGGAAGTGATAGCAGACGACAATACATTTTTTTTAGTTTTAATACATTATTCAATATACTGCATTTGAATTCATTTAGTTTGTTAGAGCGTTTTTAAGTTTTTTCTATGAATACAGGTTTTATTTTCATTGGGTGGTATGAAAATAAATATTTCATGAGTGGCGGTAGCCACGAGTGAAATATGATAACTTGCATACCACAAGATGAAAAAATCCTGTAGTTATAGAACAAAAACTTGCATTTTCTTTTTTTCTTTATTTATATAGATATATACTTTTTTCTTTAGAAAATACGGGAAATATGTTTCATTGCAGTGAAAATACATTTTTACAGTGAAAATACTGAAAATGAAAATACGCAGTTTTTTTGTCAATATTTAACAATATTTTATTTAATAGTATATGATAATTTAAAACATCTTATCTGTATTTGTATTTAAAGGCGTTTTCTGAAAAGAAGTAAAAATCCAATTTTTGCTTGAGTAGAAGGAAAGTAATTTGAGTAAGAGAAGGGGGGGGTTACTTTGTACTTTGTAAAAGGTAGAGGTGTTGGTAGTTTTCACAGGCACGAGTATCGGACCTGGGAAGAAAAAATATGACCAGATTGATAAAAAAATCATGTGTTCATCTTAAAAGTGTCAAAAAACAAAAAAAAAATGTAAATAATGACCCCCTTTAAAAATATACTATAAGTTAAGAGAAGGCCGGAAACTCCAGATTCGAGCCTACGAGCAATGGATTCATTTCCCGGGCCGTTGTGAAAACAATTGGCCAGACAATTAAAAAAAACTTTTATCACTATTTCACGTTTGTATTAAGCTTCAAAATAAGACCAACCCCAAGTCTCTAGCCCTTCCCGTTCATGAAATATCTTCAGGAAACGAGCGAATTCGTGCTAAATATCCTTGGTATAGACAGAATTGCGGCACAACAATTCGGTACGTAAACATAGACTTATACATGTATGTCAGCTGAGTACGGGTCAAAATCACTAGAATTTACTAAATAATATTACTAAATACATTAAGCTGGACCACTCACAACAGTCAGAAGCATCTGATACACGCAAAATTCGAATTTCAAACATTTCCACGGTCTTTAGAATCCTTTCTACGCCATTGTCAATCAGCTGTTCGATATTTTGTAACGAGTCTTCTGATTGGCCAATAGCAACGAAAACCGCAACGTTTCAAACAAGGATGCCTAATTGCGTAGAAAGCGATTGAAAGACCGTGAAAATGGTTGAAACTCGAATCTCGTGTGTATCAGATGCTACTGACAGTTGTGAGTGGTCCAACTTAATGTATTTAGTAATATTATTTAATATATTATTTTAATAAATGAGCCGCGTCATAACAAAACCAACAATGAACATAATAGGTTTGCGGCCCCGCATGGATCCCCGACCAACCCGCGCATCCGCGATTTGAAACGGATCCATGCTGTTCGGCCTTACAAAACCCTATTACAAGAAGAAAAAAACTTTATTTGCGAACAGCCCTAGATGCGCCAAAGGGTGGTCTGGGCCCCCTTGGGGCCCCAAACGCACAATGTTGGTTTTGTCGTGACGCGGCTCAAATATTGTTTTGAAAAGTTACACTAGCTTAATAAGAATATATGAGCCGTGTCATGACAAAACCAACATAATGGGTTTTGCGACCAACATGGATCCAGACCAGCCTGCCCATCCGCGCAGTCTGATCAGGATCCATGCTGTTCACTTACAAACCCTATAACAAGTGCAGAACAGCATGGATCCTGATCAGACTGCGCGGATGTGCAGGCTGGTCTGGATCCATGCTGGTCGCAAACCCATTATGTTAGTTTTGTCGTGACGCGGCTCATATATCGTTATCACATCCGGTGAAGTGATTGCCTTTTATACGAGTGTTTAGTAGTCAGAGGATAACTGTTGTCATATTTTTCTCTTTCTTTATTTTTGAAGAATTCTTTAATAGAAAATTGCCAAGTGTCTGCGAAAATGTAGAACAAACAAGCTAGTATTTCTGCCTTTTGCGTTAAAACGCTCAGTTTAAATATTTTACAGACACAAATAAATTGAAACACATTTTATAGGGAACACCTCACGAGCGTTGCCGAAAATCTATCGAAGATCTATATATTGTGTGCATTTATTGTAAATGACAAGTTAATATGCCGAGGTTATTGTGAATAATAGCCGAGGAATTCGGATTAGGCCAAACAATAATGATAAATTACTTCCTGTTTCGAGTAGTAATTTGCCCCTTCTTATTTCCCCCTCCGTGATAACGCCTTGTTTACATATTTTTAATGTAAAATTTATTATTTTAAAACGGTTCAAACATGTGAAACATACATCGTTCTTGGTGTCTGTTCATGCAATGAACAATAGGCGAAATATCGCCCCCGAAACTCTTAGGGTCCAGACCAGAATAGTTTTGTATCAAAAATGAAATCCGAAAAAATATATCAGACTGCTGAGACATTAACTTTAAAGTCCCAAAACTGTAACTTACCCCACCTTCCAGCCCCCACCTTTCCCCGGAATGTGTAAATATTTGTCCATTCCCAAACTATATATATGGTGCCTCATATATACAGTTGTTATGTGCATAATACAGTTCTTATTGCAATTTTGAAGTTATATATTTACATTATCAAATATATTTCGTATGTTTTGAAGAAGGAAAATATTTATTTTCAAGCATACAATGTATTAAATATAACAATGGAAAAGATCGTTTTGTATATGAATTTATGCAATTATTAAAACATATTTTAGCTGCAGTTATGCAGCATTGTTAAAATTAAACATTTAAACTTCTTATTCGCCCTATGCATTATCAGATCCAAAGCATGCAAAATTAAAGTTATTAAAGTTATTAAACGCCTCAGCCTTTTATATATTATATAGAAAGATTGTCACTGATTAAGCTTTTTTCTGCTCTCTTTTCAGAACTTCAATGCGATCTGATTAAATTCTACAGAAAAAGGTGTAGTTCAATACCTCTCTCACCGCTTCTTGAAGAAATAGAGACACCTCTAGCTTGGTTCTACGTGATGCCAGATATAGTCGCCGTAAAGCAGAAGTCCGAAATTTGTCATGAAGAGGAGAGAACACCGATCAAGTCTTTGGGTGACCTTTTCTCAACTGAAAGTGAGGATCAGCAAGAAATCTATTTATTAGCTGACGCAGGCTTTGGAAAAACTGCCTTTTCAAAATATCTTGCAATAGCGTGGTGTCAAGCTCATTGTCCAGAGGAACAATACGATGATAATAAGTGTTTTGAGGATATTGAGTTAAAAGCTCTATCTAAATTTGAGTTCTTATTTTTGGTTTTCTTAAGAGATCATACCTCTGTTTCTCACATTGACGATATGATTAGACAGCAATTTTCTTTGCATCTTCCTTCATTGAAATCACTAGATGAAAATTCATGTAAATCAAAACTAAATGAAGTTTTAAGTAGAGAAAAGTGCTTGCTTATATTGGAGGGTCTTGATGAATGGAATCACCCTGGTAAAAGTTGTAGAGAGGTTACAGCAGAAATCCCACATAGGTGCGTACGTTATAACTGTGTGATTTTAACGACAACTCGACCGTGGAAGTTTGGAGTTTCATATCTCAAAACAAGTCAAATAGACAAAAAAGTAGAATTGATTCAATTAAGTGAAGACTCTATGCTAAAACTACAAGAAAATGCTATAACGAAAATGACCGGTGTCCATGCCAAAAGCGTACTGAAGAGTAAAACACGTGACTTTAATAAATTGATACGTGACCGTCGCCTAGAGCACATGCAAGTGATTCCACTCCTCCTCATGTATATAGTTTGCCTATGGTGCAACAACATTCCCATAGGAAATACAAAACATGAAATTTACACCAATATCATTGAATTTCTATTATCCAGAACATCAAAGAAACACCCGGAAGTTCAACCATCTCGTGAATCGTCTGCCAGTGAAATTCCAGAATACTTCAAAAGTCATGAATTTTGTAAAAAGTTTTACAGTCTTATAACATCATTAGCAGAGCTAGCTTATCAAACATTATTTCACGAAAACAGAGAAAACACGCTTGTATTTGATAGAACGGTTGCTGAAAAATATCTCAAAGCAGACGACATGAAATTAAGTTTTCTCTCAGGAATACTGTCAGAAAGTAGAACTAAAACTTTAATCAAAGAAATTATCAAAGTGTCGTTTTCTCACAAAACAGTGCAAGAATTCTTTGCCGCCATATTTATAAGTTCTCAAAGTGACGCTCAGAAAATTGTGGAAGAAAAATGTAGAAATGTTCAAGACATTCTGGACATGTCAAAAAATTTTGAATTTATAAGTGGAATGAATGCTGGCCTGATGTGTGCAATATCAAATGATTTGATGTCTGTGATAAATGAAGACGAGAAAACACGCGAATATAGAACTAGGACAGGTACCGAGCTCTTGCCAGATACTCCATTGTATAACATACAGGAAATGTTCATGTCGTGTTTACAAGAAATGCCTGAAAGTGAAAATATTCAATTATGTTTACAAGATTTCTTCATTCAAGAGAACACGGAGGTGCACAGTGCGCAGTTACAACGTTTATTAAAACAAAATAAAACCAACATAAAATCACTTTATATAGACATCAGCCGTACTTCCAACAGTTTATGTGAAATTATAGATTTATTCTCTCTCACAGATCTCAGTCATATACAGAAACTTTACTATGAGGGTAACATGGAGAAGGAGGATCAGATAAGTCGGATATTGTTTCCCAGTTTACAGTCCGTTATTTTGTTTGATGGTACATGGACAAATGATGAAGAAAATCTGAGTGAAAACATGGCGCGATGTCAAAACCTACAATATTTATATATTTCAGGCTTCACTTTATCTTACAAAATACTGGAAACAATTTTCAATTTTATCTCCGGTCAAAAATCAATGAAAGAGTTAACATTGATGGACTTAGACTATGAAGAACATGGCGGCCATGATGAGAGATGGAACTTGGACTTGTCTCAACATTCAACTCTATCAAAGTTAAACTTGTTGGCGTTACCTGGGAGGCTACAATTAAATATATCAACACCGTCATTAGTTAATGTTGATTTGTGGAACATCAATCTAGATGAAAGTTCATTGTTACTGTCATGTGACATGTTGAATATTGAACGTGTGGTGTTGAGGTATATAGAAATGTCTGCAAGAAGTTTACAGAACTTTATTATCGTGCTGGTAAATCTGCCGCAGTCAGTTACAGTAGCGATGTCCGACATTAAACCGGAAACAGAATATGACCTTGTTAGAGAAAATATTCGGACATCACAAACTTTTCATGTGATACAAGAAGAAGGTGAGGACAGGTGGCAGCCATTTGAGTTCAAAACAATAAAAGCAAGCAAAGAATAGACAAGAAAAAACATTGTGAAATATATTGAAGACATTACTTAAATGATTTTAATTAATAAAAACAATTTAATTATGGACACTTAGAAACAACATGGCGGCTCTTCAATCTTTAACAAGGACACATGTACTTTCGTTTTCAATTAATAATTTAAGTGACAATTGTTTATAAATAAAAACATTTAATTAATATATAATTCAAGGAAGTTTTGACGGAATTCAATGGATATAAAATTGGATTAGGATAAGGAAATATTTAACAGGTGAGTGATTTTATATTGATTTTTTTTTGTTATAGATGCATACTCTGTACAGTAGATCAAGATCTATATACAAACTGAAATAGATTTAAATTAAGTTTAATTAACAGTGAACAATACTCATATATTAACTTTTACTTGAAAATATATTTGATTTAAATAAATCAACTTTTTAATTAATATGTAATTACCATGATTTTTTTCCCGCAATCGATATTTTTTTATCAAAATAAACTATTTTTTTAAACATACTGCAGTAGGCTATATATACATAGGTGAACATAGGTTATTAATTAACTCTTTATTATCTCCTATATATATTTTATTGATTTAAAAATTAAGATTGTTTTTCTTTTCTTGTTTTTGTTAGATTTTTATCTTTATGTAACATTAATTGCCAGACTTTTTTAATTATTAATTAATTAAGTGTCTCCTTTAATCCTTTAATAACATTAGATGCTGACCTGTCAACCAGTTTCCTTTGAACCATATAGTAGCCCTAGGGTCTAAACTGACCCAGCCTGGTTGGGGGGGGGGGGCATATTTTTTTTCATATTGAATTAAAAAGTCATCTTTTCTAAATTAATCAATACTAAAGCTAAGGTATTTTGCATTAGACATTGACATTGTCTAGTTTACCTGTACCAAGTATGTTTAAATTATTAACCGTTTAACGTTCTTGGGTCAATGTTTGCCCAACAGGGAGGGGGTCTTAAATTTTCCTTAAATGTATATTGGTAACATTTTAGATATTGTTCCCCTATACAATGAAGGTTTAATCTTAAATATTTGTCAAGAATCAATCAAGTTTATTAAATTATAGCTGTTGGATTAATTAAGAGGTGGGGGGGTCGGTCATGGATTTTTTATTTACGCATAAAACTTTAAAAATCTTAAGGGCCTAAAGCTTAGGTGTTTTGCATGAAACATTGTCCAGTGCTCCTCAAACAAGTTTAAACAAATTATAGCTTGGGGGCAAAATTTCCCTTGTTTGCCGGGAGGGGGAGTAGATTTCTTTATATGTATATTGTAGTAAAACCAAAAAAGATATATAATTCAGATATGTAAAAATTGTTTGAAGACCAGTTATATCGTTGTAGCAGATGTCCCATTGGTGTTTAAATAATTAAATATTTTTGATAGAGTGTTTACAGGGGTGTATCACGTTGGGGGCAGGATCTGACCCCCCCCCCCCCCCAGCGTCTGTGCACCCATTGAAAGAGTCATGGATTTTCCTTAGATTCTAAATGTTTAACAACAATTGCTATTTTAATACTTAGCAACCATTAAAGGGACTCCACTGAGGTTTTTTTTTGACATGAGGCCATCCTTAAAAAGATGTTTGTTTGCAGTAACCCGACCCAGAATTTTCAAGGTGGGTAGGTAGGTCGATTTTTTTTTTATTAAACTGTACTCCCAAATAAACATGGAATTTCAAAATGCTGGAAAATATATGCTTTGATAATCTGTTAACAATTAATAAATTGATAACTGAATTCTAATTTAATAAGAACTTCATTTTATTTCTTCTATTAACCTTTAAAAGAACGAAAACAAAGCACAAGGCATAATTTTCTGATTCAAAAAAAATAATTTTTTCATCCAGACCATGAAATAAAAAATTTGAGTACGGGCAAATTTTGTGAGTCAAAAAATGTAAAAAAAATGTTTGTTTGCAGTAACGCGACCGTTACTGCAAACAAACATTTTTTTAAGGATGGCCTGATGGGAATGAAAATAGTTTTTCCAGATCAATGTACCATTTAATGTAGGGTTTAGACCACTAATTTTTGTGCAAAATTTCAGATCATTCCGGCACTGCTTTTTTCCAGAATAATTATTCAAATTGTAAAAAATGACCTAAAATGAAAAGCGTTTAAACACTGCTCACTCAAATCAGGCTAAGAAAATCATAAAATACCATTTTTCATTTATTTCAAAGTAAATTTCTAAGCTATCTTTGCATATATTCCTGTTCAATTTAAGTACCCTGCTGATTTATGTAAGGAATTCAAATGTTATGTTTTTAGGCTTTAAAACCTCAGTGGAGTCCCTTTAACTTCTATAGCAACTAATGACATATATATATAGATAACAACCATTTACTTTCCATAGCAACCACTGTTTTCAAAATCAACCGTTAACTTTCCATAGCAACAAATGACTTTCATAGCAGCAGTTGACATTCCATAGCAACCATTGACTTTTCATAGCAACCTAACAAATTTTGACTTTACTTAGCAACCATTGATTTTCATAGCAACAAAGAAGAGAAAAAGCTGAGTGTTACACGTCCCGCCTTGCAGAGACATTTATCTTAAATGTACAATATTTGAGATGCTTATATGAACTTTGTGATAATTATCAGTTTAAGATGAGAATCTGCATTTCATTCATAACTTACAAAATTTATTGCTCCATATCAGTAGAGCCTTTATAATCAAGTGAGCGACATAAGGTTCATCATGACCCTCTTGTTCACAAACATTTAACTAGATTAGAATAAGACATTGTTCTGCAAAATTTCCTCATTAATAAGATACTTATTATGCGTTAATCTTGTGTCTTATTTCTCGTTTCAGCGGCCATGGATCAAAATTGTTGTGATGCAGAATCTCTTGTGACATTTTACAATATGGATTTGTGTAGTTACAGATTATTTCGAGCAATAAAAATACCATGTTCCTTTGTTGACAAGGTAAATCTTAAATTATCTTTATGATTGACAGATCAATAATGTCCAATAAAGATAGTAAAATAAAATATCAATGGACAATTGCTTCATTCAGCCAAATCATAAACAGAATGAATTTAGGGAAATGTTGAAAAAATATTAAATTTTACACCAAGTTTGTAAGCCGAGTTTCAATACCATCTGAGTTTAATACCTCTTAAGCAAAGTTTGGTACTATAGTTTATTATCTTACGAAAAGGACAGTGGTTATACTCAGATATCAGCTTAGGCCAAATAGTTTAATTTAGCTGACAACAGGCATTGGTTCTACTCAGATGTCAGCTATTATGCCCAGATCGCTTACAGCAGGCCTGAGGTTTATACTGTGATGTCATCGCATGCTCATATTTTTACTCAGTTGGCCATCTGTACTCGGTTAGTCGATTGTACTTGTATTATCAGCTTGTGCCTCTAAACCAAATATCAGCTTTTGTCAAATAGTTTAATTCATATGACTGACAGAAGGCTGTGGTTCTACTTAGATGTCAGCTCTTGCCTAAATGATTAAATTCAGTTGGCTTACAGAGGTTTGTGGTTCTACTCTGATACCAGCTTGTGCTTAAAAAATTCAATTCAGCTGGCTTGGGGAAGGTGTATTTTTCAATTTTGTTCCTTCACGGAATGCCCGAGGTTCCCCTCTGAACTTGTCAGCTCATGCCTATATTAATCAATTAAGTTGGCTGATTCTTATCGGATATCAGTTTGTACCTAAATATTTCAATTCAGTTTGTTTACAGATGGTCCGTAATTCTACTTGTATTCCAGCTAATATGCTTAAATAAGTCATTTCAGCCGTCCGCTGGAAGATGTTTTATTCAATTCAATTTGCTTACAGAAGGTCTGTGGTTCTACTCAGGTCGAGGACTTATAATGAGCCATATGATAAAGGGCAATTTAAATATATTCTATTTCTATCACTTTATGGCAACTATTTTTACAAATGAAGGAGACTTATAGGCGATTGGGCTAGATGTATTATATATGTTATATAATTTGATTTATAAAAAATGTTCACACATGCCACTATATTAAATAAATTATTTAGTTACTTACGCATATATGGAATTTTATGATTTGCATTTACTTAGGTTCACCTTAAATGTGTGTGAATCATAAAACACATAAAATATATTATTATACTTAATAAATCCTGTAATCTACACTGTTATATTTCGATTTTCACATTTATTCTTTATACTTTTTTTCTTCAGAAAATCAGCTCAAGTAAATCTACACGACAATGATGATTATGCTTCTACTAGAGTCCAATATGAATTATACTTAACACCTGGTTCCTGGCTTAACAGAAACATATAAAAAAACAGTGCATCACCAATACATAACTTGTACAATCTTTTAGTTCCTTGCTGAAACAAAGACAGATCAGCAAACTTTTGCATCATTTGACGTACTTAAACTTGTTTTCGTCAAGGAGAATTTATGTCTGTAACGAAAGTTTTAACCAAGGCCGCTGTCAAATATTTAAAAATATCCTTCTGAAAACTTTGTTCTTGAACTACTCTCATACCTTTAGAAAACACAAATGAAACTTGTAAAAAACATTTGTAATTAAAGTGGATTGGTCTACAATGTGCACATTTTCCATAAGAGTTGATAACAAGACCACAATTAGACAATAAGATATGTGCATTTTTGATATACATGTATTTTGGAAATGTTGATAGAGTTTTAGTGATTTAGTATGAACACAATATATGGTGAATTATAACATTTTGTTCTAAGAAAACTTTATTATATGTTATATTTTTTATAAATCGTATCGGATCATGTATCTAACACATGCCTACAACACCCATATACATTTTTTTTGTGGTTTGCTTTAACATATTAAACTAAATACTAACTATAAAAATAGTTATTTATGGTATTTAGATCTTCCATTATAGACCAATTCACTTTAAAGAAAGTATGATTAAAATTGTTTTTATTTAAATAAGATTAAATTATGTGTTCCTCTCTTTTAGAGTGAAATAGTTAAACATATCACTACATAATGACATTTAGCTTTGAAAAAAAATCATTATATTGTTGGAACAAATTATTCAGTAATTTTGATGAGTATAAGTTTGTTGATTTACTACTTTTTAAGGTTACAAAAAGCAAAATCAAATTTAAAAGTTGCAATATAACTACAGCAAAATTAGAACAAAAGTTTTTATGTTGCATTTTGCTATTGGTTATGGAAATCTACCAACCGTAATCTGGCATAGTACATTAAAAAAATTGGCCGTTCAAAATAAAATTATAAGATAAATCGATCAAAAATTACTGAAAACTAATTTTGGCTACATTAAATTAACAGAACTTTTTTACTTTAAAAAGTAACAATTTTATAGATTTGCAATGAAATTAGTTTATTTTTTATAGTTTATTTTTTTTTAATTATGCATTGTTCAATTGCAAAATAGAAATTAAAATTTTACAAAGAAAAATGTTGTTTAATTGTATCATGTGAAGATTTTATAATATTTCACAATGTCATTTACAAATATTTGTAGTTAAATTTGATGCATTTTTAAAATGGCGCCGTTTGTTCGCAAATATTCTATGTTTTTCAATAGATCATGGCTTAATCACATTATTTTCTGAAATATTTATCTTTCTTTCACATGTTTAAAGATTTTTAAAAAACATCCTGTTGGCAGAATTTTCATGTTTGCTCCTATATTTAGTTTTTGCCCTGTTCTTGAACACTTACATAATCAGCATATAGAAAACTATACCGAGTTATACCAAGACACGTTATATTGTGGCGATAAGGATTTACCTAGCGCGTTTCAAGACCATTCTATTTTAAGATAAAAATATATCATTGGTTGGATGACTCGACAAGTTATATGACCTAGATTAGATGGCTATAATTTAATATAACCGATGCTTTCAGGTTATATAGCAAACAGTTTTTTTATAAATGACCGTATTAACTTTCAGAAGTCTTTAAGAAATTTATAAAATTACACAAAATGCCTCCTTGGTTTAATAAAGAGAAGTGAAAAAAGTATCTTAAAATTTCAGCAGATGTGTGCTTAAGTGATGTAAAACTCATATAATAAATCAACCCTGCCAGTATTGTGAGAGTTGTTATCATTTACAATCTATAACATTTCTCCATAATCTACTTTAATGGTCCCTGCATGCAAGAACATATACAAATCTTTATTAATTAAGTTGTGTTTAGAGGTGTCTATCAATTATAGGTTGATCTGTATATTTGTACAAAATATATTAATGTATTGCTATTATCCATGTTCTAGTCAGATTTGATGTTGTTTTATTTTCCGCTCAAGTATATACAGATGTTTATAGTTATCCATAAGTTCTAAATACTATTTTTTTTTGTGTTTGAGGTACTGTGTATCTCATTGTCAAACTACTTTGTTTATATGCATGTACATAATTTATATTTAGTGATCAGAAAATGGCATGTTATATTACTAACCTATGTATATGTAATAAAGAAAAGTTACATATATCCAGGTAACACAATAAGGATACATCCAGAAGGATGGAATATTGTCATGCTACTATGACATGAAATATGGCGAATTAGGGTCATCATGGCCTTCTTTTTACTTTAAGAGATGTTTTTTTGTGTGTATATGTATATAGTTTGCTAATTATGATTTTGTATAATTTACAAAGATAAGTATTTTTGTATTATGTATACGTATTCAATATAGTGCCCGTTCTCTAAAACCACAATCATATCAGTAATAATACTCTCATACAACAAAGTTGTAAAGATTGTAATAATTACTTATACTTGGTTCATTAGGGTCATCATGGCTGTTTTGTTACTTTTATGATTTTTGTATACATGTATATAGTTTCCTTAGTATGATTTTGTATAATTTACAAAGATAAGTATTTTTGTATTTTGTGTATGTATTCAATATAGCACCCGTTCTCTAAAACCACAATCATATCAGTAATTATACTCTCATACAACAAAGTTGTAAAGATTGTAATAAATACTTGGTTCATTAAGGGCATCATGGCCGTCTTGTTACTTTTATGATTTTTGTATACATGTATATAGTTTCCTTAATATGATTTTGTATAATTTACAAAGATAATCATTTTTGTATTTTGTGTATGTATTCAATATAGCGCCCGTTCTCTAAAACCACAATCATATCAGTAATTATACTCTCATACAACAAATTTGTAAAGATTGTAAAAAATACTTGGTTCATTCAGGGCATCATGGCCGTCTTGTTACTTTTATGATTTTTGTAAACATGTATATAGTTTCCTTAATATGATTTTGTATAATTTACAAAGATAAGTATTTTTGTATTTTGTGTATGTATGTATTCAATATGGCACCCGTTCTCTAAAACCTCAATCATATCAGTAATTATACTCTCATATAGCAAAGTTGTTTAAGAAAGTAATTATTCAAGAATCACCTTAGTTTTCTCTCATACCTTTTCATATTAAGTTTTGTCCCTCCGAGGTTAATTTTTTAAGTGTTGAAGCTAAGAGCTTGTAAATTCATAGACAGATAAATCTCATTAAAAACGCTTTAAAAATCATACACTCTTATAACACATTTTAGACATTAAAGCCCTTAAAAGTTTACAATGCTTAATTTTTTGTTTCGAACCTTTGATGTAAATTGCTGTCTTGTGCACATTTTTAGAGTTATTGCCCATTAGGCTTTTAAATGTCCTTATTTCATTTATTGCCGGGACACAACTCATACACAATTGAGTGTATCTACATGAAACATATTTGGTACTTCTAAATATCTGATTGTGGTACAATGTATATGTGAAAATTTTGTAGTTATTTACCTTTGTAACAGTTTATACTAAATTTTCATGCAAAGCATACCTTTAAAGGCACATTATGCCTCAGAAATCTGTTTTTATTCAATTCATTAGAAATGTCAAACTTGTGTTTAATAATGTTTTTATAATGGATTTAGAACATGCTAGATGTTTAACAGCTGGGGAAAGTAGCGCTGAATGTGCAGTTATATGTCATAAAGTTAACAAAAAGTAAACAAAAGTAGTATTTTGCTTTCATATAAAATAATAATTTACTACAATTAAATCAATCGTCAACAAAGCAGCTCAATCAAAGATGGTTCAATTTTATGACAAATGAGTTTTTTTTTAAACTGTAACGAGATACTAAAAATAAAGTTAAAAAAGGAAATGATTTCTGAGGCATAATGGGCCTTTAAGTCTGTATGATGTTTGAACATTATATTATCCTTCTGACAAAACGGCATTCAAGGTCATTGCAACTTAATTGCAATAGAAGAAAGGCTGTTGTAAAACTATTTTGAAGATTTATGTTGACATGTAATGATGAAAATTCATATTGATTGTTTTAA